ATGGAGCGTGGTTGACCTTACCCTGCAATGGGAGTTTGAACCAGAGGACCTCTGACATCAGCCAAACACAGAGAGCCTAGCCAATATCAGTAACATTACCGTCTGTCCTTTGACTGAATCTGCAGTTAGAAATTGAAACTTAAGTCCACCATAAAGAAACATCCTTTTTTTTTTTTTGGACAGAGTTTATCTTTTTTTAAAAAAATATATTTATTTTTATTTTATGTGCACTGGCATTTTGTCTGTATATACAGGTGTCTGTGTGAAGATCTCAGATCTTGGAGTTACAGACAGTTGTGAGCTGCCATGTGGGTGCTGGAAATTGAACCCTGGTCCTCTGGAAGAGTAATCAGTGCTCTTAATCCCTGAGCCATCGCTCCAGCCCAAGAAACATCCTTTCTTATCTCTAGAAGACTACAAAAGTCTTCTTTGGGGGTCAAAAAAATACAAAGAGGGTCATAAAATACTCCAGCTTTTCATCTCATCTACCTTTGTCCATGGAACGTTTCTAGTGGGAGAATGTTCTAGCAGGACCCTCCTTCCTCAGATTAGCCTTTCAGAAAGATGTCCACTATTACTGCCTCAGAAAAATTATGTGTTGAGGAATATTGATCAATATTTTGATCATACTCTGACATTCCTGAGACTGTCAGTAAAGTTTACTTTGAATCAGAAGGCAGAGTTAGCAACTAACTGACCAAAATTAGCCATAGAGGTTCTGGAAGAATGAGGATGTACAGAGAGACACAAGAAGAAGTAGGGAGGGGCTGAGAGAAAGGCTCAGCCTTTTGTGTTTTTTTTTAAATGGAGGAAGGAGAGATAGAGAGAGAGTCAGTCATTAGTCACTTCTCCGTCTCTTCTCCAATCATTTGGGTTCTTATCCTGATATCTGACCCCTGAGTTTCTATTGATAAAGTATAATTAGATAAACACGTCATACGTGTGAGCCTGTTTGTAAGTTATGCACGTGAGTGCAGGTGCTTGCAGAGGCCAAAGGCATTGGATCCTCCAGAAGCTGGAGAATGTTAACTGTCTGATGTGGGGGATGGGTACCCAACTCAGGTCCTCTGGAAGAACAGCACGCTTTTCCCAACTGCTGAACCGCCTCTCCAGCCCCTCCACCGCTATTGCCTTGTAATCAGATGGAAGATGGTGGAAATGAATTAATTCATATTTATTTTGAGAAAGGTGTCACTATTGGACTAAAGCAACCTTCCTGACACTTACCCTCCTCAGTAATTGGTATTACCTTGTCACTACTCCTGACTGACCCTCCTCCTCATTTCTGGTGACAGTCCTAGGGCTTTATGCATCTAGGCAAGCGCTCTACCACTGAACTACATGTTCAGCACAGCGACTTTATTTTTAAAGCTGAGGAAAGATGCCTCCTTTGGTGCAAATTTTCTAAAGGAAATTAAATCCAACCAACTTACCCCTCACTGGAATGGCAAAAAGGAGCAGATCAGATGGTCTAGAAGCTCTAACGATAGCTTTGCACCACTAACTCACTGGTCTTCTGTCTTACCACCTCCCAAACATGCCAGTGAGTCACTGGGACACCACACACCTCTGTTGTTCTGCCAGAGCAAAACAAAGGTCATTCTCTATGTGTCCTCTTCTCTCTGCTGTGGCCACCTCCACCATATGCACATTAATGTGGAGGGAGGCAGAGAATCCTAGTGTGTCTCACTATACAGATGCTCTGTGGATTCATCAGCTGGGAAGTCTATTCATCAGGACCCAGGATCCAAGACAAGCAGCATCCTGTTCTTCCAACGTAAAAGTCCAACTTACCATAGCACCAAGGTTAAAAAGTCTTAGTTTTTGAAGCAAGGTCTCATGTAGCTCAGGCTGACCCCAGACTCACTATCCAGCAGAAGATGACCTTGAGCTTCTCATTCTCTCGTCAGTACTTCTGGACCACTGGGATTGCCAGGGCCTTGGTCTCTCAGCTAAAGAGCTCTTACTGGTTATTTTCATACCGTTTTCTCATATAGGTCATAGATTCAATTTCAGACCTAGGGTTATAGAAAGTGCCAGAAAGAGCACAGACGAAAGCAGCGGAGGAGAGGGTCTATTCGTCCCCACTTGACCGTTCACGGGACCTGAAACCAGAGCTGTTCCAGAGGACAGTTTGTTTTTCTATTAAACATGAGGGGGGGTCCATCAAAAAGCAGAGTGACACCCTGTGGACTAATCAGGTGTCCTTCTGTGATGGATGGTGAGGGCACTCAACCCTGTCCCTTGCCGGGTGCCATTCTGATCAGTCCGCTGCCTTTCCCAAGCCCTCCAGCTACAGAGTGGTACATCTGGGCTGCTCTCCATGCACCCTGCCACGGAGCCATTTTCTCTGCACTGCACACAGCTCCTGCTGCCAGGATGAGTCACCTTGTAACTCCTCCCTTCTGCCCCTTCACTTGGTACTTAAAAATACTCTGGGGCTGGCCGAAAAGAGCCCCGCTGTGTGTGAGCGTGTGTGTGTGTGTGTGTGTGTGTGTGTGTGTGTGTGTGTGTGAGAACGTGGGCTTGGCAGCTGAGTCTTCCACAGCCTCTGCAGAGCCCGGCTGCATTCTGTTTGGCAGAGGGGTTAAGAGAGTGGATCCCTCCCGGGAGTTCTCTTTTCAGCTCTGGTTCTCCCCAGCAGCCTGCCAAAGTCACCCTCTTTCCTTTGCAGGCGCCTCCATTTTAGTCTCCCCGGTTTGGAGCAGAAGAATCTTAGCCTTGACACACACTGTCTCTCCTCTCAGGCCAGTCTCTGGATGGCCATCTTGCTAGAGGCGGGGATAGCTTGTCCGCCTTTACCTACTGGACCCGGTGTCTGCCCCCGGGTACATTCTGCATCAATTACAACAGCATCTGGCTGTTTTCTGAGTTGGAATCTGTCAGCCTCACTCGGATAGCCCTTCTTCAGTTCTGTGCTGCTGTCAATTCAGTTCAGTGCTCCTCCACTGTCCACCCACACAGACTGTTAACCTTGGGCAGAACCAATCCTAGGATGCCAGAACCATCTCTCTTCCCTAGCCAGCACTGAAAGAGGACTGAGCCTTTACACGGAGCTGAGTACTCTTCCTCCAGTGACCGGCTACAGGTAACCAGGGAACAGGGTTCTTAGGTCCCCATGGTCCACACCCAGCTGCACACTGCACCTGCTGGGGGCACCCCTCCCTCTGAGAACCACACACATTTTGATCTCCACCTGCTGCCACAGCACCCTGCACGGAAGGGGCCTTGGAACAAAAGCCCAGCCCAGTACAATCCAAAGGGACATTCTGTGCTTGAGTTATTCATTACTTGAGTTAGCTGAGGTCACAGAGCAGGAAGCACCCTGGGAAGCAAGGGAAACGGTGGCATTGAGGGTGGGGACTTCGTCAGGGTGACCTTCCAGGGCCCAAAGGGAACTCAGAGTCCTGGTCCTGGTTAAGTATCAGAGTAAGATGGTCAGTCATAAAGTCATACCAATAGCTTCAAGGTTACCCAAGGTCACATGGTAGGAATTATCGTTAAGCTAGCTACTTAATAGCCCTTGCTATGCGCTAGGCAGTGTGCTTAACACTTCCCCACATCCTTTCTTTAATCCTGGCTACAATGTAACACTCTAATTTTACAGCGGAGGGAACAGCCCTGGAGAGAACAAGCGCCTTGGCCAAGGTGGAAAAGCTGTCTGGCCTGCAAGTGAGGACTGCGGCTGCGTCTCTATCTTAGCCTTCCTAGGGCTGCTCTCTGCCGCAGGATGGTAAAGCGCACGAGGCAGCTCCAGATGGTGGAGACTAGCTGGGCAGGTGGGGCTTGAGGTGAGCCACTGAAAGAAACGGTTCCCACATAAGTGGGCTGAGATCCGTGTTCTGCGGAAATGCTAGCTCTGGGTAGGAACAGGAGTGCTTTTGCCCAGCCTAGGCGAAATGCTGCTGTGGATCAGCAGGCCTGCTTCTTGCAGGGCAGGGGAACTCACTTGAGAAGGGAGACATCTACTAGAGGAAGACAGGGGACGGATGAGAAAGAAAGCTGGTTTGTCTCACAGGACAGCAGTGTAACTAACGTTTGTCGCACAAATTGGCAGCTAAGGGAGGAAGAGCACTTTTCTTTGTAAAGAATAAAGGAAGTTTTGATTAAAAACAAAAAGTAAAACCTGTCTCTGTGAATCCGTTTGCATGTGCTTGTGTTAACACGTGCTTGTGGGGATGTTGAGGCACAAGGGACAAGGGTGGTGAGGGATGGGTACCACAACAGCCATTACTCCCCCCACCCTTTTCTTTCTTCCACCCTCCTTCCCACTCTTTGTAGCTCAGGCTGGTCCAGCACTCAGTACATAGTTTATGCTAACCTCATATTTGCAATCCTCCTGCCTCTGTCTCCAGACTGCGGGATTATAGGTTTAAACTATTGAATTCCTGCCCAGCCTCATCATTCTTGAAGCTACCTTACCCTCTACCCTCATCCCTGATGGTTCTTTTGGTGATTTTGTCCACAGGGTTTCCTCCATCTTACAGTAGTGAGCACTTAAAATAGATAGAGCCTTCCCAGTGGTCTGGTCTGCTGGAAACTCCTCCACAATGTAAATTCTTCCTAGAGACTGATCAGGGACATCGAATCCACAGGTGCAGCCTCTTCCAATAGCTCACCAACCACCAACTTGGGGCTTTTCCAAAATAAACACTGCAGGGGCAAAGCAGGGGGTGACTTCCTTTCTCAACCAGCAGCTCTCACTGTTGCCCTTGATGTAGCCTGGTCATAGCCCGATGGGCCGGGTGTGACTAGGTTGCTGTTTCGTCCCTAAATTTAGGGAAATTCCAGGTTTTCTTCTGTCTTGCAAGTGGGATTAGAGAGAACAAGTTCATTTCGATCTTGTCCTTGGGCCTCCAAGGTTGACCTTGAACATGGCAGGGTGCCTTGGGAAATCACCTCTGTTTTGGGAAGGTCCTTGATAAGCTGCTAGCTCTTTCCACAACCAGCCAGGCTGCTCTGGGGATAGGCTTTTCTGCAGCCACTGCAGAAGCAGCGCCATGTTTTCTGCTGTGTCATCACCTCAAGAGCTGTGTGGGAAGCTGCTCAGGGGCTCAGTGGATGAAAATAAGAATGGTTTTTCAGCCATCAAGGTTGGAAAGGGTGGGAAGCAGGCCATGTCCAACCTTGGGCTCTGCGACGCCCTGACACATGAGTTGGGCTTTTCCCGAGTGTTCTGTCATTCCAAGAATTCTACAGTAGAGGGTAGGGGTGCCCCCAGTGAGATACAACAGTAAGCCAAGGAGAATACCAGCCACGGACCTGGGCCAGGAGAGTCTTAGGTGGCCGGGTCATGTGCAGAGATTGTTTCCCGGGGTCTAGACTTGCAGGAGCCACAACCAGTTCCCAGCTATAGACCAGGGTGGGTTTGGCAATTGTCCGGCTTGAGGTGGTTCAGGCCGCCCACAAGGAGCACAGCCCAGAAGTCAGGAACCCAGGCTGCCCGCTGGGCTGGCCTGCTGGGTGAGGGACGGGCCGGAACTGCAACCGCAGTGGCCGAGATTGCGAGAGGGCGGCAGGTGCAGGAGCGGAGAGGCGGAGCAGAGCTGGGCAGAGTCACTAGCGTCCCGGAGTGACCTTTCTCCACCCAGTTAGGGCCTAGGAGAGGTGGACCTGCAGCAAAGCCAGGCCAGGAGGTGTGTGTGGGGGTACCAGACACGAGGAAGATACCAAAAGACTGGGGTCTCCGGGGCTCCCAGAGATCGACGCAGGTGCAAGTCACCGCACCAGCCTAAGGAGTGTCCGGGAACAGCTCGGGGCGGAGAGGGGACGCGCAGAGCACCCGGGGTACAACTCACCAACCCCGAGTCCCTCTCCGCGCCCCCGCTGCCGCGCCAGCCCCTCTAGCCGAGCCGGCTCCTTTGTGGCAGCCCCGCGCCCGCCCTTTCGGGTCTCAGGCTCCGCCTTCTCGGCGCTGGCGATTGGTCCGCCGTGTCGCCGGTGGGCGTGGCTACGGGTGGCGGAGGCGCGGTATATAGTAAAGGTAGGGCGTGCGCCCTCAGCCAATTTCCCGGCTCGTAGCCTGCGCGCGCGTGTGTCGAGCTCGCGCTCCGCTCCTCTCGTCCTTCCCGGTGACTTTCCCTCTTAGTCTCTGACCGGTCTCGGCAGAGGTCACAGCAGGCAGAGTGGTGTAGCTACAGCTTGGAGCGGCAGCTGCGGGGTTCGCCGAGCCCCCCGAAAAGCGTTCAGAGAGCGCGGGGAGAAGCCGCGAGAGCGGCCGCGCGCCCACCGCTAGGTGCGGGGCTCGGAGCCGCCCAGCCCGCGCGCGCCCTCCTCCTTCGTCCCTCCTCCCTCCGCCCCCGCCGCACCT